CTCCACTGAGCATGCTCAAGATGGTCAGCCAAGTGTCGGACATGTTTTGTGGGGGGAACCTGCCGTATCCTATACACAGCATATGTGACAACGCCTTGAACAATGCAAATGTGTACTGCTCGGTCCAGTGTGCTTTCTGTGGATGACATAAGAATATCACACACATTATTTGACATTCGAAAAATCACCTATTATGTTTAGACCTGACATTATGAGTTATGAGTTCAGAACCGATATCATAAACATTCCCATAGGCATATCTTTAACAGTGAGCGAAGAGTTCCAGTTCCAGGTAACAGTAACGATCTGATGGTTAATCCGCATCATCTCCTACCTGCGTTTTTAGCGTCGACCAGATCTCTTGGCTCACAATACTGGTAAACCACTCTTCCTTTATTAATTCATGTTAATTTTCATAAACAGTGCTTTCCACTTTACTTACTATCCTACTTGTCATCCATAGCGTCATTCTGTCATTGTACTGTAAGTGACCCTCAGAGACAATGCACTTCGCAGGTAGTTTTTTTTTCCTCTGTTCTGGCGCCATATTTATTGTCCATGTTTGCTACTAGTAGCTAACAGTGAAATGCAAATGTTAATAAACATTTGTTGTTTTGCCGGAAGGGAGACATTTCGATGTCTAAGCAATGGGATATTTCATCTCTTTGGCCGTGTTTCCCCAATCAGTATAGGGGATATGAATGTTTCTTATCGTTTTTTACAGAACGGTATGAAGATTATGATTATGACAGTAATAAGATGTTGTCGATTTATATGATATAGCTTAGGTGCTGTTTTTATTACCTCCATCATCTGGATCGACGAACTTGGGCACGCAAAAGTAAATGGTAGTGAAAAAGCTGACCAACTGGTAAGTAATGCACCAATGTAAATGGGCAGAAGCATGGACAGAGCTGATATCATCAACTCTGTACAGACTAGGTTGGAGGATAATGTTCAGTCTCTGCCTCTAAGAGGGAGTTAGTCTTGGTGAAGCACGTCTATATCATCTCCAATGTACAGACAGGAGATACTTTAACCAACTCCTTATGGAAACTATCAGTAGAGGTACCTTGAAGCGGCTGTTGCATCGGAGGATTGAGTACGAATGGGAATATCCAATGTGCAAAAATGTCGATTGTGATAACATACTAACACTTGTGGCATGTTACCGGCTTGTTTGGTATATACTGGATGTCATATTAGGGATGTTTGTGTGTGTGTGTGTGTGTGTGTGTGTGTGTGTGTGTGTGTGTGTGGTAAGTAGATAAGCGCTTTATGATAATCGTTATACTGTACGCTAGTTCATAGAAAGATTATCACTATGTTACAACCTGACAATAACAGTTCCCTAGGTTACATTTAAATGATTGAAGTATTCTAGATTAATTTATTATGCGATGAAAAGTTTAATCGTTTCAATGGCACCTCTTTGCATTCCTAGACGAAAATGTTATACTGTGCTATAAGGGAGGCATGGGAATCACAGCCCATGGCGATGGCGAATGTGACTAGCAAGATCCACTCGCGCAAAGAAAAGTCTTTCATAAGTAGAGCATGACATTGCAGGACCATTGTTGTCACCATATGTATTTAACGTTCTTCTTATCAGATGCAAAGCTCATTTTCTCCTTCATCCATGTTTCGTAGTTCCCACCTTCCACGCAGCATGGTCCATGGCATCCTGTTTACACGAATCTATTTCAATACCCGTATCATTCATATCCTGTCTGCGCACATCTTTATATATGAGTAGAGGCCGATCGCGACATGTCATCATCAAATGCAGTTTACTACAGAGGATGTCATTAGGCATAAATAAATGAATAATTTTGTGTTAAATATGCATGTTGTAATTTATGGCATGTAATTAGCTAGTGTGCTATATCTTGAATGTCACAGACTCGTGTTTTACATGTTGATTATGCATTCGTTTTACATTCGTTATACTTTCACGCCTCTGCATTGTTGGTTCGTGTGATACAATACACATCAGTATGTTCTAGATGCGCTTCGTTCTTGGTATGTTATATACGTTACCGAGTTACGTCTAAGTATATTATAGATTCTTATGTTAAAGGTTACTATTTTAATTTATGTATACCTCATGTGGTACAGCTTGCAGTGTTACAAAGCACTGGTATACTAGAGACGTGGATTTCCGTGTTCAAAATGGACGTTAGGCTGGGTCACTGTTTTGAATCGTGGCAAAGTTTTTGCTTCTGCCAGACGATGGCCGTTGCATTTTTGCTCTGTTTGTAGACTGAAAGGATATAGTTTTGTTGCCCAGCCACTGAGTTCAGTGCATGGTGCGACCCTGTGAGCTGCGGATTTTATTTGGAATGTTTTTCTTCTGTGACCAACGTGGTGTTGTGAATTGTAGATTCAAAAAATGGCGCGTGGTCTATCGTCGCAATATAGGTGGTGCCCTTATGTGATTTAAATTGATCGCGTGTGCAACTGCTGATTTGTTGGTTACCTCTGCTACTGTCGATGATGAACTGCATTTCTTCTGTCGGACTGTTTGTGCTAGCACTTTTGATGGCTACCGTATGCTTTTAGTGCCTGTGTATATTAGTGCATATGCTGAGACAGCAGTCTGTCAGTCTCTCACAAGGGACTGTGATGAACATGCTGTGTGTTTTTCGTTGGAACGGGAGCGGAGCAACTATGGGGTGATCCGTTTGCTGTGAAGCTGAAACTAACATTACCATTACCATTACAAGAGACGTGTTTGTTACTGGCAGACAGCTGTTATATCATCAGCAGCCATTTGCCGTTTCAGCAATGAGGGTCGGCTGCAACAGGTCTCCTGCTGTCTCCTGCTCTTCACTCTCTCAGGCAGTTTTCCTTCACCACCTTACTTGGCTCTACTAATTTAACTTAATTCTGTTTTTTGTCCGTCTGCCTTTTAACGTTGCTTCCATGAGAGTTGTAATAAAATTATTTTGTCTCCTTGTGGTTCTCATTTGGCTCCTTTTTTTCCGTAACCAATTTTTTTTTTCATTGATAAGATAGCAAAACATGTTATGCCTGGACAATGGGGGTTATTACAATATGTGACATCAACAATGATCCTATTTTCAAATACATGATTAAATGCAACAGAGGTGTTTTATAACAGTTTAAAACAACAACAACCACAAGATCATAAATACTGATGCACATGACCATGCATACAACGTTTCTCACAGAATAAATTAGACCAGAAATGAAATGTAACAAAATGCATATAAAAGTTAGTCAAACAATATAACTTGTGAGAAATAACGCGAATTTAAGCCAACGTGACTTAATCTAGAAATACGTGTTATTAGTGAAATTATACCTTTTGTATTAATACTGAAATCGCAAGTTTAGCCATTCTGACATCTGGCAATTAAAATGTATATTATTACAAAAAAAAAAAAAAAAAAAAAATTAGTAAACGTATAGACTTTAAAATGTTTTTAAAAATGAATTCCAACCCATCTCCCACTCACCAGGACGTATGTACGCAGGGACGTACGTACGCGCGGACACACACACAGACTGTTTACCCTTATTTATTGATAGCTACTTGAGTGAATTAATTTTATTTCTCTGCTAAATTAAGTTTACATCTGCTACATTTGGGTATTTGTAAGTTTTATAAAGAATGCAAAGTATTTACGAATCAAGCATTATTCAGTCTTAAAAAAAAAAAAAACGGATAAGTTTCTACAGTTTTTCAATATTTTTTACAATGTTGGTATATCCTGGCAAAGCATTGTAAAATGTTCTTTTATCGACACCATGTTCTAATGAGTTAGTAACTGCAGACAACATAATATGTACTATATAAATGATGAAGTTTAACATGCAGAACGTTTTGTTGTCGGCGATGAACATAACAAACGGATAACATTGGGTATTACACCATCCAACAATGAAATTATGAAGTAAAACTTTGAAATAGTCCCTATACTCGAAATTATGTTTTTAAAACACGAAGACTGAAATCCAACAGTTTGTGGAAGTAACGATAATGATTTTAACGAAAGGAAATAAAAAAAAAAACATGAATTAATTTGTGTGCAATTGAAGAACGATTACAGATCATTAATTAATGCGAGTGATACTATGACATAATGTATCATCTTCGATTCACACACCGTAACTTTTACAATAACAACGGCAAAGTATGTTATTACAAGAGAATGCAATTTATAAGGGGAGTACTTGTTTACAGGTACATTCACATTAATAACGTTAATACGTTGTACAGTTTTTAATTAGACAGTTTTAAAAGTATAACAGTTTGAACAACTTTATGTTACAGATTATAGGACACGATGAAGATATTAGATACACAACTAGTTTCCAGAACTGTTCTTGAAAAAAACCCATACCAAAGTGATCTCCTTGAAGAAAAAAATGAAATATAAAAGAAGAAGAAGAAGAAGAAGAAGAAGAAGAAGAAGAAGAAGAAGAAGAAGAAGAAGAAGAAGAAGAAGAAGAAGAAGAAGAAGAAGAAGAAGAAGAAGAAGAAGAAGAAGAAGAAGAAGAAAAGGAAGAAGAAGAAGAAGCTTTACATTCTTTTCATAACAAAATAATCAAAACTGGAAACAAAGAAACTGGAAAGGAAAGTTTCTGCAGCAAAGATGCTGACGTGTTGGAAAATGACACCGAGGAACATGATAGAGAGAATGAATAATAGCACTAAAAATAACAACACCAACAACAACAACAACTACCCTGGAGACTGCTGTTTATTTAGTTCGCCGTGGATTGCTGTTTAGTTCGCTGCGGATTTCTTATTCAGTGGAGAGGAACTGATATTTGTTACCCAGTAGCTCTTCCAATGTGGCGCCAGTTACTTCCTAGTTTCTTTTACGGCAGTTTAAAATGTTTACCAGACAATACTGCTGGACGTCACATGACGTTGTTCTTGCAGTGTAATTGGAAAGTGTGAATCACTCCGGCCACCTCCCCCCCCCCCCCTCTCCCCCCCCCCCCCGAAATCCTTTTTATTAATCCGTCCACCAGCAAAATAGATTCTGATTCTTTCTTGGTCTTTTACGTTATGCTGTGTTTGTAAATTGTTGCTGTGTTTGTTATTCTACCTATGCTCGGTTTATATAAATTTATGTATGAAGCTACAGTTCCAATTCACTGGTTCGAGATTAATTATGTCCGTATTCCATAGTTGTGGATTTCAAACTGTATGATAGACATGGCCAATGAAGACACCTTTTTTTGCGGAAAAGGGGAAAAGGGGGGGGGGGAGGGGTGTGCCTACTTAGTAATGTTCTTAGCACACTACTTTTTCCATAGCAAGGCGCACACGCCATTTAGAGGTGACAGGTTCGATTCCCTAAACGGTAACTTTAGCATTCGAATTTTATGTTGTTTAGTGTGTTCTTCTAACTTTCTACTTCTTTCTGTAAGTGCCGATCAATACATTGTCAGTTTGTGTATGTGTACATAATCTTTTAGTGGTGTGTTTGTATACAAAGACCTTGTTATTGCACAATTCTAAGATGTTATTGGATATGCGGAAACCAGTCTATGTAAACTTTTTCTCTCTCGATATATATATAAATACACACACATATATATAGGTGTTTGTATGTTTGCTTGTAATTGCGTCTATGCTTGCGACTGTGCGTAAGGTAGCATTTCAGCATATTTCAGTAACAATGTGCTTTAAAATCACACATGGGCTTTATATATATATATATATATATATATATATATATATATATATATATATATATATATATATATATATATATATACATATGTGTGTGTGTGTGTATGTGTGTGTGTATGTGTGTGTGTGTGTATACATACACACTCGTCTTTACGCGCATGTGAGTAAGATGGAACGTCAGAGTAACAATTTTTCTATAGCCTTTTTACTCAAAGTTCACACATACGCATGACAATCAAATGCACAAGATTCACAATTGAGACCTCACATTTATTGATTAATTATACTTACCTTGCACAATTCGAGATCCTAGAAGCCACCCAGGTGGCGTGCAGCCTGCCAACCTCGTGGCTACAGGCTCGAATCCCCACTGAGGCGGATTTCTAAAAAAACTACCTGAGCTTCAGATATACAAATGAGTACCAGGAAATGTTACTAGAAGTAAAGACAGCTGGTGTGATACTGACTATATTAGCTGTTGGGTGCCAGTGGGTGTATGTATAACATTTACAGGACCAGCACCATAACCTCAAAACACATACAGGTGCGGAGATGGCCCCTGAAGCTTACTTACCTTTAACAAATGATCCACACTTTGCCACGTTTCTGCTCAGAATGATAACATATAAATATATAAGTGTGCATGTGAACATTATATTGACATGAATATATCATCTATACATGCAAGCTAGAAGAATGTTTCCAAGTTTGAATATTTACAGGACAATATAGTGCGCCCTTCAGTGTGATAACACAAGTATAATGTTTGTAAGAGAGTGAAATGTAATACGTACCTTTATCAAGTTGATAGGACCTTTGAGAATCGATACTCATCTTTATTGGCGTGCTTGTACTAAGGCATTTCTTTAAGAAGTTATGCAACTGAGAGGGTGCCACCTTACGATTGCATTAACTTTTTAAAACGCTCTTTCAGGACCAAAAAAATATTTGTTTAACTCAATATATCCTAAATAGTAGAGTAACAAAGAGATAATCAGTTTGACCTGAAGGAGTTCAACAGTAACACTATGAGTAGTTAAATTATAGTTCATAAGCAAAAGGTTAAAATAACATTTGTGTATAACAGAAAAGAGCGCGAACAGAGTATCTTTGGAAACACAAGCAAGTGTGTGTGTGTGTGCGTGTGTGTGTGCGTGTGTATGAACGAGCGATAACGTTCATCCCCACATCACACCAAGGGATAAACACTAGGTGACACAAAGTGCCACTATTAGTAATAGGACCAGCCGGGGACACTAGAAACCCCGCTCAACCCATAGGCTGGGTTTTATTAGGGCCCCCAGGCACAGCCTGTGTGGGGCTTTAAAACATTCGGACGGTTGTGCGCAAATAAAGTGTACGTATGTGTATTGTGTGTGTATATATATATATGGCTTGGCTTGGCTTTTTACCCCACCAGGACATCACACAAGCGATAAACACCCGATGACACAAAGTGCCACCATGCGGATGAGGATCACCGTGGAGAGGTCCCAGAAACCGCGTTCAGACATATGGCCATAATGATGACCTGCCTATATTGCGGCCCCTGGCATAAGCCAGAGTGGGGCTTCAAATAACAAAAAATAACGTCCTAAGAAAGATGTAACAAGTATGTCTATATATATATATATATATATATTTATACATATACACACACGCACTTTAAATCAATAACCCTTTCTATATTTCGTGTGTTTAGTTTGAATGAAGTGTTAACTCCTCTGTAACAATGGCTACTACACGGGTTAAACTTTTAATAGCCATTATGGCTACAATCTTCAATTTAACAAGCATATTGACAGTCAGCTTTATGTTTAAATTCCTTTATTTAACGGAACAATCAATAAAATAAACTTTCGCTGGAGTTATAACCCTTTAAATGTTTTTTTTTTCTACTTGCTTAAAATAAAAAAATAAAAAAATAAAAAACATTTCGCTGTTATTTTCCTTGAAACCGCACTTATATATGTGTGTATGTGTGTGTCTGGAATGCATTTGTCTGTCTCCCAAACTATTAAATATTGGTGGTAGTATTACATTGGATTACTCGGGTACACCTAGGGGCAATGACTAACCATACGGCAGCGGTGGAGACACAGATGTAGTAGAAAACGTTATATTAAGTATAATGTTTTTGATAGACCCTTATTTCCACTAGACCTACATATAGAGCAGCTTCAGAGACCAAGATGAGGTAGAGGACGGGAGAACAAGAATTTTGTTTTCACTGTCTTGGCCGAAACCGGGCAATTAAATCTAGTATCTTGCTTATGCGTTGCGATCGCGATTCGTAATGCCAGGGTGCCGAGTTCCATCTCAGTAACAGCCGATTTGGCAGTAGACAGTCTTGCGTTGGTTTCGACAGTGGTACTGAGAGCTGACCGTTAAGTAGCAATGGCATGCTATTGAAAGTAAAATTTTGCAACGATCTGTAAAGGATACGATGCTTTAAAACATAATATCTTTGAACTCATTTTATAAGAAAAAGAAAGAGAATGCAAGGATACATATGGTGAGCTGCTTGGTACTAAGAGAGTTCAACAGAACAGAGAATGGTCTTCACCATTGATTTGAAATCGCGTGCAAATTACTGCTGTTCAGTTTCCGGTAAAGGAATTTCACTCCAGAAATTACTCGTTGGTTTCATTAATTTAAAACCCAGTATATACTCTATCGAACTTACCACATATCGTACGTCATACTTATCTTATTCCTCTGTTTTACTTATGTTACTCTTGTCTTTCCGTGTATGCTTTGTATGGTATGGTGTCACAAGGCATTCTCTCTAAGTGGGCAAACCATTTCACTTGCTGTCTTTGTATGTAATCCAGAATTGGTTCTGTGCCGACTTGTTCTCTTATGATCTCATTCCTGATCTTATCTCTTATGGTCACTCCTACAGCCCTTCTCAGACATCTCATTTCCGACTCCAGGATTATCAGTGCAATATCCCATTAGCCTTAGATAACAACTGAAGGTTTGCTTCCATGTTTTGTTGGGGTCTATGGAATGCCTTTGTCTTCTTATTTTAATTCCGCTGACCTTGCTTTATGCTGCTTGTTTATTCTTTCCCCTTTAGATTGTGATAATACATTTAACAAGAAAAAAAAATACTTTACTTTAAAAGATATTGATAACAGAAACTGATAACAAGATAAATAGGATGTCCACGTAATTAGGACAAAATGGAAGAAACCTACATTTTAGAACTCGGTAAAAGCTCTCAAAACATCGCCAGACATTATGCTTCTAATTACCTCCGACATCTACTTTAAAGTTTATTTCAGCATGTACATTAGATTGATGGAGACCAAACAACTTCAACAAAAATAGCATTTGATTACTGGTGTTTGGAAGCAATACTTGTATTTTTGCCAACAACTGTTTTGTTAATTCACTGTCTTTACTCATTTAGTGAAAATGATGTACACTATTTTAATGTGAGAAAAGGCTACGCAGTTAATTTGGTTGCCACATGTATTGCCGGGCATACCCCACGATGTCTCAACATATTAATTCTACAGCAGCAATTGAATAAAATGAAGAAATTGAATTAATCCTTAAATACTGAAAATAAACCCCTCTAAAAGGTTTAATCAGTAAAAATAACGGACCCTTTTCCACGCACTCAGACGTATTGGGCACATAGGGCTAAATCTATACTTAATAGAGCAATTGTCACTTGGTGAGTGACGTGGTCAACATCACACCGGCCGCATCTACTTCCCTGGCACCAATTTAGACTGTAGAATTTTGTCTCCGCTCGGACTTAATCCCGTGACCTTCAAATAGGCAGTCGAGCTTCTAGCTACTACACCACAGCGGCTCCCTTGTTTTATCTGGGCAGGTAATTTTGACAGCTTGTTAGCAGTCTGTTGCTAGTATCGTTTTTGTTTTAGATTTACAACGGTTTCGTCGAAGTCGGAGTGCATCTGCCTAAAAGAGTAAGGAACCAACAGTCTGCATACAGATATGCCAGATTTGTAAAACGGATGTACATGCAAAACCCAAGAAGAACGCGAAGAAGAGAAAGAAGATAATTTTAGCACACAAACCTTTATCTTGGACTGCCTCTCAGGTGCTGACTTTGTAATTGTGGTAACAATGTGCAGATGAGTGAATGAATAAATGAATGTCCAAAAAATGTAGAGTCTACTAGTCAACTGTACGTACCGTAAGCCCCTCCGCCGATACCCAGCAGTCATGGGGGAATTCCTGGATTAGGGGCACGAGGAACTGCAGGCAACCGTTCCAGTGACCCAGAAGAAGCATGAGGCATATCAGGTTGAAGATCCGCATAAACTTTCCTGCTATGGCTAGAAA